CCTTTTTTTTTTTTTTTTTTTTGGGAATGTTAAAGCAGCCGTTTCTACTTTCCTCCAGGTGAGATGGGATGAGACTTCTACTATTTCTCGTCCTGAGAAAGTCTCACCATGGAAAATTGAGCCTGCTCTTGCTCCTCCTGCACTGAACCCTCTTCCTATGACTAGACCTAAAAGGCCTCGATCAAACATGGTGCCTACATCCCCTGATTCCTCTGTTCTTACACGAGAAGGCTCATCAAGAGTGACTGTAGACCCTTCACCAGTCAGTGCATTTACAAGGGTCTTGCAAGGTCAAGAATTCTCGACCTTAAGGGGCAATTTTATCGATGGCAATGATCCTGATGCTGCTGAAAAATCTGTTATGTGGCCTCCTTCACTAGATGATGAGAAAATTGATGTGGTTTCTACATCTAAGAAACATGGAGCAGATTGCTGGATAACTCCAGGAAGGAGTGAGCCAACCTACGCAGATCTTCTGTCAGGTTTTGGAACTAATATTGATTCATCTCATGGTGTCCGAGCTGGCATGGGAGATCCAGCAGTAGTAACTGCTAATTCAATCAGAAAGCATGTCATGGATCAAGATGGAAAGTTTAACTTCCTTGGTGGTAGCTCATGGTCTGTCTTGCCTTCTGGTCTCTCGCTCAACCTTGTGGACTCTAGTCAGAAGGGCCATATTCAGGCTGGTGACTTATCTTATCAAGTGAGAGGAAATGCTTCCTTCAATGGATTTGGTGATCATTCCGTGGCCCATTGTCATAGAACAGAACAGCCTCATGGAAACTGGTTGATGGCTCCACTTCCGTCTCATTTTGATTATCCAGTTCAGTCAACTGAACTGATGTCGATGCCTATGGTATTTCAGAATCAAGATATAATGAAACCCAAAGATGGGAATTGTAAGCTTTTTGGCATCTCTCTCATTAAGAATCCTGCCATTCCAGACCCTGCAGGATTGAATAGAAATATGAATGGGGCAGATGTTACGCATCTGAATATACATCAAATCCATTCAAACGAGTCTGACCTCAAGTCTGAACCATCTAGGGGTTCAATGTTGGCTGATAAATCCCTTGCCATTAATGATGCCGATAAGTTGCAGCAAACATGCACGCAAAACTTGAAGGATGCACACTGCAAATCACAGGGTACTTCAGCAAGGAGTTGTACAAAGGTTGCTTGCTATACACCCTGCATCACACGCTCACACACACTCCTTGAAAACTTTTTTACTAGTTTAAGGATGGGCCAGAGCTGGCATAATAGGTTTTGTTGATTCCAGGTCCAGAAGCAGGGGATTGCACTTGGAAGGTCAGTTGATCTTAGCAGGTTCAACAATTACGATGAATTGGTTGCTGAATTGGACCAACTGTTTGAGTTTGGTGGCGAGCTGCTGGCTCCCAAAAAGAATTGGCTTATTGTATATACGGACGATGAAGGTGATATGATGCTTGTTGGAGACGATCCCTGGCAGTAAGGACTAATCATACATATTGATCATATGTTGTCTCTTAGTTGTCTTTGTGGAATCAACATTTTGAATCATTTGTGGATTGGCTTTAATCAGGGAGTTTTGTGGTATGGTTCGGAAGATTTTTATCTATACAAGAGAAGAGGTCCAGAAGATGAATCGAGGATCTCTAAATTTGAAAGGCGATGAAAATCCATCTGTAGAAGGGAAAGAAGCAAAAGAGATTGAAGGTCAGGCAGTACCTTCGATATCCGCACCCGAGAGTTCTTAGGTTTTTGCTTTTGTGGGGTATAGGTGAGATCCGAAATATTGATATGCAGATTATTAGGACTTGTAATATTTGTCCTCATCCTTTGTCTATGCTATGCTATGCTGCACTGGCTGTATGGCAAGGTTTGATAAAAACAATGTTGTTTTGTGGCAGGTTTTTGGTGCGGTACTGAAGGAGTCGAGCAGAGTAATGCAGCGAGGCCGGAAGGTTGCGGCCTTTAGATGGTAGAAATTATGTATTGAATTTTGGACATGTGCAAGCTTTAGTATTGTGGAGTCTAGTCTCCGCTGTTATACGTAAAAAATATGTTTGTGCCCGTGTGTCTTCGGATGATGACTGGGCCGGCTTGAGTTTCAATTCCACCTTGTATATAGGCTCCTGTTGTAACTCAAGGAATGTAGTGAATCTAAATCCAATTGGGGCGTTTACGTAGTTGTTGGGTTGGTGGGTGGGTGGGTGCCCGCCGGAAATCTCCAATAAAACGTCGAGATGAATGATCGATTTACATCCAGAAATATTTGCTGCCTTTTATTCATCTCACTCACTGTAAATAAGGCGGAAGAAGCGAACATGGTCACACCAGTGGAAATCTTTTCAGAGGGGCCAACATCATGGCATTGAAATTAAAACTTCATGTCGTGTCGTGGCCAGGCCACCATGGAACATGAAGCTGCTGCTCGGTGGTTCCGCAATTTGAAATCAAAGTTATTCTTTCTTTTGCTCACCACTTAAATAATTAGGAACCAACAAGTGCGAAGTATGTACTATTGAGAGTGGTCCCTGTTGCCTTGAAACTTTGAGTACGCTTCTTTGACAGCAACGTCCAGTAGCGACTATACCCATTACCAAGTGCCTCACCTCATTGATTTTGGATGCTATTTAAATTTCAGAAGAACTTGGTTAATATATGATTTTGAGATTTGAAACTACAGGAAGAGTCTATTAATACTATGCGATGAGGGTGGTCCAAGACTCCAGAAGGCAGGAATTACTTGTGTAGAAGGCCACGTATTTTTTGACTTATTAAAATGAAGAAAAAAAGGTAGAAAGTTTGTTTCGTACACGTTTTATACTTTGTTTGCTTGCGCTTGGGTAGATGAGAATGATGTTTCCAATGTTCTCATCACATTTCTTCTTTGTCTACGTAGTCCCAACTCACAACTAAATATTGGGCAAATGGCCTATATCACAATTCAACTTAGAAAATTAAGCTTCAAATATTTGTAAATATAACCGCTTTAAAATTAAAATGATAAAAAGAAACAAAAAAAAAACCCATAAACACATCTCAATGTCAAAAGTGTATTGGTAATATATTTTTGAGGCCCATATACGATATAGTTATCAAATAGTTAATTGTGGTCTATTGGTGATATATATCTTCATGGATTGTTTGTAGGCTCATTTATTATTAATATATTATAGTAACCTAATACATAGTAGTGTATATGTGATATTTGGTGTCGGTGGTTGTTTGCACATTCATTTTCCTTTTAGACCCATTATTTGTATATATTATCAATAAAATAAAAATACTATATTAGTGATATTTAACTTTAGTTTTCTATCTAACCAGGGTGTCCATAAAATTTCGTAGCAAACATCGAATGGAAGTCGAGAAAGGACACCACATGGAGGGTCTTTGTGTGAAAATTTTTGTATTGTGTTTTATTAATATTAAAATCTAATTTGACGAAATTTAAAATTTAGGGTGAAAATTGAGAGGAGATTTATTGTATTAAAAAAAGAAGGAAAAAAAAGAAGAAGGAAATTGATAGAAATAAAAATATAAAAGAGATATTTGTAATATTTAGAAAAGTTGGGAAGAGTTTTAGAAAATGAGGAGTAGGATTGGTGGTGTATAAAGTCCACAAGTTTGTGGTGACGAAATTGGCACACCACATCTCTGCATCTCGAGCGGAAGCCGACTTATTAAACAAACTCATCATCATCAATATCTTCATAGCAATAGAAGAGGGGCTCTTCCTCTCAGTCTCATTTTCTCCGCCCTTCCCTTCCCTTCCCGTCCCATACAACACCCCTCAGTATCAAGCTCAAGGTCTCTCTCTTTCTCTCTCCTCTGCCTGTGCTTTATCTTTCAAATTACTTCTCATCCTTTTCACTGCTTTATCTCAGCCTTTATCTTTGTTTCGACTATGTTGTTCTTCCGTTCTACTCCAATGAACTCACTTTTTCTGAGCTGTTTTTGGCAACCATATTTCCCCTTGCTTGCGTCCCTTCTGGTTTTCATTCATTGATTCATAAGAAAAGGATATGCTTGCCCCCATATCTTATTACAACAACTTTCAGAACCCCCAATTCATAAAGCTCTACTGACTTTTATAGTTTTTAATATTCTTATCTCCACTTTCTTCAATCTTTTGTTTTCAGACACTTCCTTTAATGTTGATATCCATTTTGTTTTGTAGATTATTTTCTAGCTAACATCTTTTTGTTTGAACGCTGACAGTCCGTGGACATCATGGCTGGAGTTCTGGTTCAGTCCACAGATATTCCTGGTCTGATCGGTGGGAGAAAGAATGGCCTATCAGGAGGGACAGGAGACGCAAAGCGGCCTGTTAAAATGATGGCCTGCGTACATGCACCTGGTTTGAGAATCAGAAGTTTCTCTGGACTTCGAGGATTTAATTCTTTGGATAACATGTTGAGAAATGGACAAGATTTTCATTCCAGGGTGGCCATTACAATCTCGTCTAGGCGACGAAAGGCTAGCAGATGCGTTCCAAAAGCTATGTTTGAGCGATTCACAGAAAAGGCAATTAAAGTTATCATGCTTGCTCAGGAGGAAGCGAGGCGGCTTGGTCACAATTTTGTTGGCACAGAGCAGATACTTTTAGGTCTTATTGGTGAAGGCACTGGTATCGCTGCTAAGGTTCTTAAATCTATGGGAATCAATCTTAAAGATGCGCGCGTGGAGGTGGAGAAGATAATTGGTCGGGGCAGTGGCTTTGTTGCTGTAGAAATTCCGTTCACTCCTCGTGCAAAGCGTGTATTGGAACTTTCTCTTGAGGAAGCTCGCCAACTTGGTAACCTCTCTTTCCCATCCCCTCCTGGGAAAAAGATAAGAAAAAGGAACAAAACAGATCAGAGTCAATTTAATCTCTCTGAATGTAATCAATTTCAATTTTCCTAGTTTTTACTTTTTTTACTTTGCATTTTGGTACTTCATTTGACATGAACTTCCTCCCCCATGGGCAGCTTTGTGTTAAGTAAGGGCTTGAGGCTTTGGTGGAAGTTTGACTCATGGGTCCAAGTCTAGAATGCTTAATAAGAGAGTTATTATTGTCTACTGGACCTACTGTGGAGCACAGTCTCTCCATGAAGTTGTAGGATGTAGCCCGTATATGTGTATGTATGTGTCTGTCTGTTTGTCTGTCTGTATATAAGCTTCATTTGAACCATGTTAATGGTAAGCTATCATTGAAGTATTCAATTTCTCTTTCAACTTAAAAATTTTACACACGCCACTCTCTTTTATTTTTGTTTTGAAATGGAAGATATGTGTGATAGGTCCATGTTCCAGTAGTTGGACCTTGTCTTGTATTTTCTGTTGGACTTCTCAACATTGTATTGACTACCAAACTTACATGGACCCTACTTCGCTGCATTTTCAGGCCACAATTATATTGGGTCGGAGCACTTGCTTCTAGGACTACTTCGAGAAGGTGAGGGCGTTGCAGCTCGTGTTCTTGAAAATTTAGGTGCCGATCCTAGTAACATTCGCACTCAGGCAAGAATTTCATCCTGACACTATATATATAGGTTAGTTTACTCTAGTTAAACACTTTATTTTTAACTTAATATTTTATGAATTGAGTGAACAGGTTATTCGAATGGTGGGTGAGAGCACAGAGGCTGTTGGTGCTGGTGTTGGAGGAGGAAGCAGTGGTAACAAGATGCCAACCCTGGAAGAGTACGGCACAAACTTAACTAAGCTGGCTGAAGAGGTGTTCTGGAAATACATTCCACTGTGACTTATGATAAGGACTTGTTTGTTGTGTGGAAACATGAGTTCTAAATTCTAATGTCAATTTCTTGCCTTTCTAGGGTAAACTAGATCCTGTTGTTGGAAGGCAGCAGCAAATAGAACGTGTAACCCAAATTTTGGGTCGGCGGACAAAAAATAATCCTTGCCTCATTGGCGAACCTGGTGTTGGAAAAACTGCTATTGCAGAAGGTCTGGCCCAAAGGATTGCTAATGGGGATGTCCCTGAAACAATAGAAGGAAAGAAGGTTAGACTAGTTTTTCCCTCCAAACTGGCCCCTTTTTAAAGAATTCAAGAAAATATTTCCTTGTTGTGCTTTAAACAATTAATTTCTGTTCTCATTACTAAAGCAGTGTTGTGGTTTCTAACTGGGTGTGTTTCTCTTGAAATTTGGAAAGAAATAAAGTATAAAATGTTTGATGATAGAGCTATAGAATAGGTGAGGTGTGGGATGTTATTCATTCTGTGGGCTCCCGTTGGCATATTCGGGCTTCTTCTCCCGTGGTGTTTTTTTTAGTAGAACCTTATTGGAGCACCTTTTAATGAGCTCCTTCATTGTTTTGTACTCAATTCAAATTTTCAACTGAAAGTAGCTTTTCTTTTCCTAAGAAAACACGAAAGAGGAAGGTGAAAAGAGAAGGCAAGAGAAGATCTATGTTGTATCATATATCTAGTAATTAATTGTGTAATTTCACTCCCGTGTACTTCTCTGTTTGATTTTTTCATTGAATTATTTTAAACTTGTGGTTTTGGTAGCATTTGTTTGGTGATTTTTTGAACACTAAACTTATTTTAGGATTTTTGCCTATTTACTTATTTTGAAGCTTCAGTTAGAAGTTTTGATAAGATCGTTGGAAAATGATATATCTATTATATTTCTATTCTTATTCTACTTTTTCAGCCAAGATATATATATATATATGTATTTTTTGCAGTGCTACTTTTTTCGCAATATACCTTAACCAGTACTGTAATATTTCTGGAATGATCCCTTCCAAAATAATATATATTCTTTTGTATGTTCATTATTAGTCAATCCTTGATTTGGGTGAAGCATTTTCAGCACGTGGTATCATCTAAAATTGCATTATCATTCAACCTTGTAAGAATTATGCTAGATTTATGGCCAAACTTAAATTACAAATTGTCTTTACTTCTGCAAATCAGCAAGCTCTGACTAATGTTCACTTGAGGAAAATCAAGAAATTGCTAGACGGATTGAATTGTGTTTGTTTGAACATGTCTTTGAACTAGTTATCGAAGTTTCTTCATTATGTTTGGAAATAACTTGTTATTTGAAGCATTTGTTAAAAAATTTCTGTTGTGTAGGTTATAACTCTGGATATGGGCCTTCTTGTAGCTGGCACAAAATATCGTGGAGAGTTTGAGGAAAGATTAAAGAAACTGATGGAGGAAATTAAACAAAGTGATGAGATTATCCTTTTCATTGATGAGGTGCACACGTTAATTGGAGCAGGGGCTGCAGAAGGAGCTATTGATGCAGCAAATATATTGAAACCTGCCCTTGCAAGAGGTGAACTGCAGGTAATCTTGGGCATCTCGTTAAGATAATATAGCTTAATCATTTTTATTATTATTTTAAATTTGTGATAAGAGACCTTATATTCACAACAAAGAAAGAAAAGGGCAAAACATCTCAGAGGCCAGTGTGGAGGAAATTTGGACAAGGTATGAACAATATCACAAAAGATATCTATGGATTTCTATGTACGTGAATTTGTTTTTGGATTCTTTACCTCCATATGAGCCGCAAGAAAAGCTCCAATGGCACACTTCTGAAGATCGCTAGTTTTTCCTTTCAACCTCCATCGCATAGAGTTTAAAATAACCGATCTTCAATGTGATTAGTGAAATAGAAGTGGACTTCAACGGGACTCAACGTATGAAATCAACTGGTAGAGGTTAAACGATAGTGTAGGAAAAGATGATCATAGCTCTCCATCTGGAAAGCAAAAACAGTAACCCGAGGGGAGGAGTGCAACTATGATCTTTCTTTAGGGAGTCTAACTCGAGTGTTTAAGCTTCTGTATCCAAGGGATCAATGAAAAAACTCAATTCGGAAAGCCAAAACTGAAACCGTAGGAGAGAAAAGCCCAACTTCCATTTTTCTTGGGGAGTCTAACTTGAGTATTTAAAATTCTTAATGCTAGTGACTACTGAAAAAACTTGACTTCAAAAGGTGAATCATTAACTCAAAGGCAGAAAGACAACTTCAATTTTTCTTTGGGAGTCTTACTTTAGTATTTAAGCTTGTATAGGGACCACCGAAAAAACTCGATGTGGGTACAAAAACAGTAACCCAAGTGGAACCTGATTTCAATTTTTCTTTGGAAGTCTAATATGAGTTTTGACTTGTACGCTTCTGGATGCAAGGGACAACCGAAAAGTTTTGACCTTTTTGGCCCTCAACTGATGCAAACTAGATGCACAAGGAGGGGCTTCATTTTCTAAGGAATTAGTAGGGACAGAGCTTCAAAAGTGCCTATTTTGCGAATCTAAGAACTGGGGCTATCAAGGGTATACATGTCTCCGTATTTTTTATAGAACCAAGACTAATGACCTTGTTCTTGTCTCTATTTTTATACGCCAAATTTATTTTGGGAAGATTATAGGATTTTGTTTATTGAAGAGATATCCATAATGACAAAAACAAAAAGTAGTATAGTTGCAAAATATAAGATTAATAAATGCTTTTGTATGTGAGTTTTCTAAGAATACTGGCTACTAATTTTCAATCGATGCAAGTCTTAAAATGTTTAATTTGGAGTTGGACCACTTATTTCTCTGACTCCCAGTGTTAACTGACTATTTGATTCTCTATTTTTACAGTGCATTGGAGCCACGACATTGGATGAATACAGGAAGCACATTGAAAAAGACCCAGCCTTAGAAAGGAGATTTCAGCCAGTGAAAGTGCCGGAACCATCTGTGGATGAAACCATACAGATTTTGAAAGGCCTTAGAGAGCGTTATGAAATCCACCACAAACTTCGTTACACAGATGAAGCATTAGTAGCTGCTGCACAGCTGTCATACCAGTACATCAGGTATGCTATTACTGAGTGATTCTCGAAGGTTTCCAGTTGCAAAAAGTTGATAGTGCTGATTAAGTATCAAAATGAAAATGCTCTTGATTGTGTCTGCCATACTTCTTATCTTCTTGACTAACAACTTCAGTAATGGGGTGCTCGTCTTATGCATGTGAAAAAAAAAAAAAATAATAATAATAGTAAATAAATAAAATAAAAAATAAAAATAAAACACCAAGCACCCTGTTTGAATATCTATTCTGGAACCATGGAGCAAGCTTTAAATACATAAATTTCCAATTCCCTGTGCAACTTTGCAGTTAATGCCTGAGATTTATAATTTATAGGGTGCTCATGGATCTATGCCTTCCTTTATATGTTGTTTTGGTGGCCTTTATGGAAGCACCATGGGACTCTCAAAATTGCTTTCAAATTGAGAGGTGCTATCTGCATGGTGCTCAGGCACCTGTTGCAGTTTCTTTTTCTTTTACATCCCCCTCTCCTAAATCCCATCCAGGGGCTTTAGAACATAAAGGAGGAAAAAAACATTTTGATTGCATGCATCTGTCTCGGTTAAAATCTAAATATATTTTTTCCTTCCTTTTTTCTTTTTTATATCTTTAGATAAGAAACTAAGCTTTTATTGAGAAAAATGAAGGAATAACATGAAAAAAAAGGACTCCATAATGATAACTTTTGAAGTTGTAATTTCATCAGAGTAACATATCTTAAATGTGAAGGTTTTCTATATTGTGCAACTCACCTCGTAAAGGTAGGTTTTTTTTCCACCAGCTCTACAGAACTATTTTGGCCTTATACTTCTCGCCCTTTAAAAGATAATGCCTTACAAAATATGTTCTGATGTTTTATTGTCCACTTGTTCTACCTCCGAATCATTGACTAATGTTTTGGTTGGATAAACATTTCATGATATTTAAGTTATCATATTTGAGGAGATTATGATGTATGATGAGTTTGTTTGAAATTGTTGCCTTGACATGTCTTTGCATTATGATAATATTGACTTCTTTAGTTAAGATCCTAGTTGCTTTTCCTATTTGGTTTGTGGAAGTTGTGTTTTGATGGATAACTGTAAATTTCAGTGATCGATTCTTGCCTGATAAGGCAATCGACTTGGTTGATGAAGCAGGTTCTCGGGTTCGCCTTCGTCATGCTCAAGTATGTTCTCATCATTCTTGCTACTCCTGCCCTCACATTCTTCTGCATGATTATGCTACATTTTTAATGTTATGCAGCTACCTGAAGAAGCCAGGGAGCTTGAGAAAGAGCTGAGGCAGATCACAAAGGAGAAGAATGAGGCTGTTCGAAGTCAAGACTTTGAGAAGGTTCGCTTTCATTTTTTTTGTTACGTCACCATTTGGTTTATTTTTTTGGAACTGTGTTGGTTAAATTTTTAGTCTTGTCATGCCATCTTATTAGTTGATACAACTGTAGTAAATGAAACTCAGTGAACTTAAAACAGGCTGGAGAATTGCGTGATAGAGAAATGGAACTTAAGACTAAGATATCTGCTCTAGTAGATAAGGGCAAGGAGATGAGCAAGGCGGAAAGTGAGGCAGGAGATGTAGGCCCTGTTGTTACTGAAGTTGATATTCAGCATATTGTCTCCTCCTGGACTGGCATTCCTGTCGAGAAAGTATCTACTGATGAATCTGATCGCCTCCTCAAAATGGAAGAGACCCTCCATAAAAGGGTCATTGGTCAAGATGAAGCAGTTAAAGCTATCAGCCGTGCCATACGCCGAGCTCGTGTTGGGCTCAAGAATCCCAACCGTCCCATTGCAAGCTTTATATTTTCTGGCCCAACTGGTGTTGGTAAATCTGAGTTAGCTAAAGCATTGGCTGCATACTATTTTGGGTCTGAAGAAGCAATGATTCGACTTGACATGAGTGAGTTTATGGAAAGGCACACTGTCTCCAAGCTTATTGGTTCTCCTCCTGGTTATGTTGGTTACACGGAGGGTGGTCAATTAACCGAGGCCGTTCGTCGTCGTCCGTACACAGTGGTGCTCTTTGATGAGATTGAGAAGGCTCATCCTGATGTGTTCAATATGATGCTTCAAATTTTGGAGGATGGAAGGTTGACGGATAGCAAGGGCAGGACTGTAGACTTCAAAAATACACTTTTGATAATGACATCAAACGTGGGAAGTAGTGTTATAGAGAAGGGAGGTCGCAGGATAGGGTTTGACCTTGATTATGACGAGAAGGATAGTAATTATAACCGGATCAAGAGCTTGGTGACGGAGGAACTGAAACAATACTTCAGGCCTGAGTTTTTGAATAGGTTGGACGAGATGATTGTCTTCCGTCAACTCACAAAACTGGAGGTGAAGGAGATTGCGGATATAATGCTAAAGGAGGTATTTGACAGATTAAAAACAAAAGAAATTGACCTTCAAGTGACAGAGAGATTTAGAGATAGAGTGGTGGAGGAAGGATATAACCCAAGCTACGGTGCGAGACCATTGAGAAGGGCCATAATGAGGCTTTTGGAGGACAGCATGGCTGAGAAAATGCTGGCAAGGGAGATCAAAGAGGGTGACTCGGTAATAGTGGATGTTGATTCAGACGGAAACGTGACAGTACTCAACGGCAGCAGTGGTGCTCCCGAGTCCTTGCCGGATGCTATCCCCGTGTGAAGGTAGCTCATTTTATTTCAAAGAGATGATAATCATACCAGGTCATAAAATGTATTTGCCACTTTTCATCTGATTTAATTTAATGGGTCGTATACTCGAGAGAGAAAAAAAATGGAATAAGTGCTAATCGGTCGTAGTTTGCTTCTAAATGGCTGCTAGCTAGTTCTGGATCTGGTAGTATGAATAAAATACTACTGTTCTCAAGTTGGAATATTTAAAAGAAGACAAGAATCTGCCTTTGGTCATTAAAGGTTTTCGAGATTTCACAGGTAATTTCCAAGTATGTGTGTCGCACCCTGCATAATGAGCAAAAGAATGCCGACTGTCCATTGTTTCCTTTCCCACTCTCGTTCCCGGGAGGGATCACACAATGAAACAGTTGTCGTAAGAAGGGACTAATTATATAAATTAGACATTATTTATGGAAGTTCTAACGATTGCCCAATGAATCTTGTGAAAGCACATGAACCAAAACAAACTAAGAGAATTCCTCAGTTACAGTTACGACTTTCAATAGGTTGCCAAGAGAAAAGAATTGGCCAAACATTGTAAGACGTGCTAATGCGATGTTGCAAGCTAAAACAAGTGATCAATTAGATCAGTCTTGCATTAGTAGCTCGCATGCAATTCCCGTCATCCCTACGCTCATTTACCCGGCTAGCAGGGAATGAATCTAAAAGAGACTCCTGTGTTGGGCCGACGCTTTTTGCACTTGCATTAATAATTCCATATGCCTATTCATCTAAGATCAGTAGAGACTGCCTCTGGGTTGGGCTCACGCTTCCGCCACGACTGATTTTCAGAGCTGTTAGTGCTTTCTGTATTTCCATAGTCATTGCACTGTCTACGCTCCCAGATGATAGCTTCTTGTGTGATTTTTGCAGATGAAGTTTCAGTGAGCTACTGCTCAGTCCAGCATTTTTCCCACAAATTGGGCAGACTTTCATAGTTGGTTTTCGTGACTGCCACTCCATGGAAACTTTTCCATGTATTCTTCGATCTAATTCTAACAAAGTTTTAGCAAACCCGTCATTAGGCTGAGCTCGACGGTGAACTCGTTTCAAAGCATTCCATGCTTTTAGCAGTGTGTATTTCCTGCATCGTTGTATAATAGTATACATCGTAAAAAGCCAAGGTATTGGAAGGCGGAAAGGGTGGGGAGGGGGGGTCGTAGATTACTGTAACAATAAACAAATCGCAATTGAACTTACTTTCTGAGCATCAAGTAAGCAAGAACTAATGTGGCACTTCTGCTTTTCCCTTCAAAACAGTGAACCAGGACCTTCCCACCCTTTCTTTCAACGTCATCAACAAAATCAGAAGCTTCCTCAAAGATACTGCTGATGTTTGAGTCTTCATTGTCACTTATCTGTTTTAGTGGGCAACATAATTAGATATGGCAGGAAAAGAAATAGAGGAGAAAAAGAATGAGAAACGGAATTAGATATGGCAGGAAAAAAGCACTTACTGAAAAGTTCTTGTATTCAAATAGATCAGGAAACTGAGAATCTGACTGCCCAATTTCATTGGAGCAGAGACATAAAATATGAGTAACTCCTAGATGCTGAAGAGTGTAAACAGATCTTGCAGCCAAGGCACCACCTATAAACAAGGCAGGTGTAACTGAAGAAGGCCTTTCTGTATTTGCAGCCTCAGATATCAGTGCAATCCTTTCAAGAATGTGCTCAAGCCTCACCTGAAATATATATCAATCAAAAGATTGAGTTATTTGGCTCTATGGATACAAATTAGATATCAGACTGAGTGGAACAGAATGTTTTACCTTCAATTCATAAGCATCCACAACTCCATGACTATCGCTGCCCTCAAAAAACCCAGTATTAAATTTATTCTCCTGGCAGAGTTTAACAGCTTCATTTTTCAACACTTCATTCCACATATCCAATTCTTTATTTGATTCAGCATCAACCTATGCCAGAGAGAACGTAGGAAATCATATTTATGTCGATGATGGCCACTGAACGGCCGCACATTTGCGCATAACCAACAGAATTCTCTAGTAATTTATGACCTACCATGTTTGTGATGGTCGTCGGAAATGAACCCGTTATGACTTTTAAATTCCTCACAACTCACAAGATAGTATAAAAGCTAGAGAAAGAAGAGACCATGCATGCCAGTATGATATCATTCATCAATAAAAAACAGAGGATCTCCAGTCGCACGATTTTATATATTTTTCATGAGAGCAAACATTTCATGATGCAATTGCTTTTCTAAATTGACCATAGATATATGACATGGCAATGATATTCCAATAATTAAGAGAGAGAGAGAGCGATCAATGACTTCATAAAGTATACCTTGGCAAATTTATGGAAGTCTCGAAGCTTTGCAGTCAAACGAAGGCTATGAATGGGCTCTGCACCTCCCCTGTGTAACTTTCCTTGTGAGCTATCTCGTGACAAGGGAGAAGATAAGTCTGAGCTTTCTCTATTTCCTGACGATGATGATCTTGGAGCTGACTCTGTAACATCTATATTACCGTCACTGGAGGTTCGTTCCTTACCCCGCGGAGATAAACAATGAATAGTGGTAGAAGCCTGCAAATGGGACTCGGGAACCCCTGAGTCCTCTTTATCGGATTCCCCCAAGGGAAATTTATTTATGATATTCATGAATGCTCGTAATGAGTTGTCTAACTTTTGGTGAAGGGTAAGCAAAAATATGTGAAATCCTTGCAAGTCCCTAAGAGCAGCACGAAACCCATACCGAAATTCATGGACAATAGAACTCATATCTGTAAGCTGTATGCCAGAAGTTGAGTTGGCATCAGCTAATGAAGGGAACCCTAATTTCCCTCCCGTAATGTCATGCAATAGATTAGAGGAGAACTCGGAACTGTTGAGTAACAACTCAACTAATTTTGGGTAAATTGACTGGTCATTAGCACGTTTTCCAGCAGGAGGACGACGAGGAACACCAGAGTCAATAGCCACAATGTTAAAATCACAAAGCATTACTTCATCTGATATTTGACTTTTAACACTTAGGTTACTAGATTTTGGGGATTCAACATTATCAGAAAGTTCAGAGGTCTCTGAAACCAACCCTGAACTAGAACTTGGTCGATTGTCCATTGAAGTTCCCCTTCTTTCTTTTTGAAGCGTTGAAATGACTTTTGGTCTGTACCGTTTAATGGCAGAATCAAAGGCTTCCTCGAATGCATTCAAATTTGCACACGCCATTCTATCAGCCAAAAGCAAATTTGCAGAATTTCCACGCCAACGAAGAAGACGACAAGGGAGCCGATCTTCATTTCTGATGACAAGGTCCAATAGCAAGATCCTTCCGATAGCGGCGGCTAATTTTTCAGCCCTTTCTCGGGATTCAAATGCACTTGAGATTTCTAACAATGGAGATCCATGCACATAGCTGCACGAATAGGCACCAGCTTTTGTGAAGGAGGAAAACATAATTTCTTATTGAAAAACAACACATATCATTTAACATCATGTTTCCGGAACAAATTTCTATCTATGGGACACGAAAGCATAGTTTTAGTGGTTATTAAATATTTATATCGAAAATGTTAAAATACAAATACAAGACCCTACGTAAGATTCATCCTTCTTTACATGAATGCTTGGGAGTTATCCTAAATATTAGACCCTAGAAAATTTGCACCACATAGAAAATAGCCTTACCAAATAATTCCAATATTGCTATTTTTTATTTTATAAAATGAAATATACATCCGAAGTCTATTATGTCCCTTGAGGGTTAAAGAAAGCAACCCAAACTGAACTTATTATAATAGGAGAATACTTGCAAAGAATATAAGATAAGAAACACAATGAAGCATATTAGACGTGGAGCTCAGCTAAACCAGAGACCTTCTAACCTTGTCACTGAAAATTCGAGTATCCCTTTATAACCATAACAAAACCAGTCAAATTGCTCTGACTGCATTTAACCATAGTCTTGGCATTTCCTTTCAAATTGAGACCTCCTAGCATGCATCATATTGTCATTAGTCGAGTAATCCCAGACAAAAAGATATTAAAGATGCGGAAGAGAGAAAGGCAACAGTTAATACTATAGGAACCAAAACAGCAAGTGCGATTTGGTTCCTTCTGCCTCTCTACAAAGAGCACACCAACTACGCGTGAAGCTGAAGCATCAAGATTTCTTTTGTACCCTTTCTACTTTGTATTTAGAACTTCATTGCAATTTGATATTCTTGGCGCTTTACTGTCTAAATCGACACTTCAGTGTTTCTTGTTTCTGTCAACATAGACTTGATGTTGGCAGAGAGAAAAGAGACCATTCAAAAAAACTCTACACGGTTGCAATATCCCAAAGCTTCTACATTTCCACTTGTCCGATAGAATTTCTCCAGCAAAACTTCTAACTCCCTCATGTCCTCCGCCTACAAATGCTGTCTCCTTGAGTTCTCTCTAAGATTGAGTTCCTTCATCCCATACCTCTTTAAAAAAATCATCTCATTATCCTACAACGGCAAAATCAGGTAGCTGGTTATCTATTTGTCCTTCCAAAACAAAGTTATCCCTATTTCCAACATTGAAATAAGAACTTCAACCCTATCTTTATTTCTGTCACTTGAACTTCAATTTCTTTAACTCTCCCTGGATCAGTGATGATGCCACTTCCGGCCACTAAAGTTTATGCCTTCCCCTTACAGCCTCATTTGCTAATACGGATTAACCATCTTTCTACAGAGAATAGGAGCCATTTGGTTTAAAGATACCATCAAAGTGAAAGCTTCCTTAAACCTCGCTCTTAGAACCTTGGCGATCTTGTTATATACCCCTTAACCAAGCTGATTAGCCTGTACTCTTTGAATCTTTGTGTTCTCTCTTTTTTTGCATATGAAAAATTGCGTTCTCTCTAAAACAAAAGTTTGAATGATCTTTAAAAGTAACAGACTGTCCTATAAATTCCAAATTGAAGTTTATCAATAAGCAGAGATAAAGAAAGGGAAAGCAAACAATACATTGAAATTCAGTATACCAAACTTAAGAAGTCCAATGTTTAAAGTACTAAAGAAGTTTGTAAATGGGATCATTTATTTTGAAAAGAAAGTAATGTATAAAAGATGGAAAATCACTTTCCTCTAATCATGTCCTAATACTTTGAAAAATGACTTGTTAGCCTCCACAGTACTTCAGTTAGAAAGTTAACATCCTATTCCTGATAAACTCAAATCAGAGTAACGTATCTATAGGCCTGTTAGGTAATTAGCCAGCGAACCTAACATACTGCAATTCCGAATGG